GCATGAGCACTTCTTGCTATTTTTTTCTCCTGAGAAAAAGAACACAACCAGCTTGGGGGTAAGAGGAAGCCATAACATCATGGAATAGTACAACTATTAGAGCCCCTCAGATCCCTTAGCATGGCCTTCCGGTCACAAAGCCTGCTGGTCCCTGGATGCCGAATTTCCAAGATACTGAGATTAAAAGCAGTGAAGCAACTTAGCAAAGACTACAGGGCTCCTAAGTGGCTCAGCCCAGGCTCAAAATAAGCCTGTCTCAAACACTCTGGGATACTCCTTGCTTCAGAGGAGACCTGACCTATTATTGTTTCATAGTACTGGTTCCAAGCAGCCCTTTGAAAAGGAGCCCTGGGAGAAGGTGACAGTGTATTCTGAGAACGCCCACAGTGCTGGCCACACAGACACAGTTCCTGCAAACCCACCAGGGTCAGCTGACCCTCCCAGCAGGATTAGTGGAGCACACCCGCCCACAGAAACCATGACACACACTGGTGCCTAGGAAATGGGTCCTTGGAATCCGGTGCTTAATTTCTATCAAATCTGGACATATCTCTGGGGTTACTGCTCAGAATTTCAATGGATAGGTGTCTTCACTGTAGAGCAAAGTCTAAAGTCCTGATTTCTGTAAATGTTAGCTCTCCACATATAAAACCAGTAACTACAATCCTCTCTTGGAGCCACACTGCTTTGCTAATAATACACAGACACATGAAAACCATCCCTCTTGCCACAAGTGTCCTTTGCTGGAGCTTGGATGACTTGACCAAGCTTTTCCTAGATGGATTTTTCTCCTTGATTTGATCTGACTAGCCAGTGAGGTGGGAAATATGCACAGTGGACTGTGCATACAATGTGACGGCATGGCTTATAACTGAGACTGAAGCATAGAGCATTATGACTCCCATTCTTTCTGGAGGCCAAGTGAGCATCAATGCAGGAAACGGTGCTGGTCGTAGGGCAGATGGATGAACTCCAGCCGTCTAGGCTCCCTGGCCTGAGTGTGTACATTGCTGAGGAAAGCTGGAGTGCACTGCTGATGGTGACTGGCTACCCCTGAATCAGATTCAGCCTTCAAGGCCTGGGCTGAGTGGATAGCTGCGCAGGTCTCCTGCCTCTGGACTGTGTGCTTTGCTCTTTTTTTCCTCTAGAATGTTCTAAACAAAGTAAGATCCCCAAATTCATTTCAAACTATGTAATGTTTCAAAAAGCATTCTTTACTAGATTCTTCCCAAATAAAAGCTACTGGAAGAAGATGGTTCCAAGGGGCCATGATCCTCCTTGCTCTGCTTTCTCTCTCTCTCTCTCTCTCTCTCTCTCTCTCTCTCTGTCTCTCTCTCTCTCTCTCTCACTCTCTCTCCCTCTCTCTCTCTTTCTCTTTAGGGTCCTGGAGAACTGATGGCAAAGAGCTTTTCAGTGTACAGGGAAATCTATCCCTCCATGCCTTAGGCCATTTTCCAAGAAAGACATTGGGCTAAATGCCCTGGGTATTACAGCTACAGGAGATAAACTATCAATTTGTTACTGTTAGAAGCCTGGGGATCTGGCATCTGGAAGCCTGGAAATCCCAACAGTTTGGCACTTGGCAAACAGGAAGTAATCTAGAAAATCCTAGAGATTGGGCATCTGTGGCCAGCTTGCTAATCACACAAGTGGATTGTTGTGGCGAATTTACATAGTAGACTGTACTGTAACCCTGATAAGCTGCCAGAGATTTTTTTAAAATTAAGTTAGCGTTGCACTGCTGTATGTCTAGAACTTCGCGAGCTAGCTGTGTTGAGCCCAATGGTTAGGTCCTTGTTGTGAAAGTAACAAAGTAATGCACTTGCATTGCTATCTACCTGCATCAACCTCTAGTTGATGAGGGGATGTGTTTGTGGGACTCTGGAGATGCCCTTCCCAATCCCCACATTACTGCTCCCTCAGTTTCAGCCCTCCCTGGGGTGAATCTGCATGAAGATTATGTTGAAAATAAGCCTGACAGTCCTCACCCTGTATCTCAAGATGAGCTGATGGAACTACAGGACCTGGAGTAGTTAGGTCATCCTTTTTTTTTTTTCTTTTGAAGAAAAAGTGATTTTCCCTCAATAGTTTTTTAATACAGTAAGTTAAAATTAATGTGTACACAGAGAAAATGTTTTGGTAAGAAAAAGAGAACTTTAACTTAAATGACAAAGATGGAAGTTTTAAATTTTTCCTAAATGTTGGATTAATTATCTTAGGTGGTGTCTCCAAAGTAATTTCTAAAACAGCAGAAAAGGCAACCATGTGGTGCCATCCCAGACATCAGTGTGGCTCTCCGCTGTAGATGATCCAGATTTCTCCACAAAATAGGGCTCCTTTGCTGGAGTTTGCTCTGCATTCTTTTCTTTTAAATAGCATTGACATTCTTTTATTTATTTATCTTTGTATTTATTTATTTTGGTAGTACTGGGGTTTGAACTCAGGGCCTCATGCTTGCTAGGCAGTTGCTTTGTGTTCTGATGGCCATCTGCTGTGGGGTTTGTTTCTAAATGGTTCTCCAGCAAGAAAGGACAGAATGAGGGTGGCGAGGGGTAATGTAGTTTGAGCTGGTGAGAAGACGGGAGGGGGGAAGGCAGGCAGGTGGAGCACAGAGGGACTAGGTGCCAGGCTGCACTGGAAGAGCAACAGGGGTTCAGGCTCTAAGAAGATGCCCAAAAGAGCCCACAGTCTACTAAGGAAACAGACCCTCAACATTCCTAACGCGGTGACTGCAGCACAATGCAGAGGAGGAGCCTGGGCGCAGGACACAGGCCTGAGCTCCAGTCTCAGGCCCTGCACTTTCCAGACGTGTGAGCTCTACTCCTGAGCTGCCTCATGGTTGCATAGGCTCATGAGGATGGAATGAAACAGCGTGGAAGGCACCTGGAGGGTGAAGGGCTCTAGTTGTCATTCTTACTATGTTCCAGTAGAGATAAATACATAGAACATCTGAGGGAACCTGAGCAGGATGAAGAAGCTCTTCTGGGAATGAGAAAGGCTGCCTGGAGGAAGTGATAAGGGGGCTGAGGCCTTGTAGATCTACTCCCAGAGCCACTACCAGCAGCCATCAGGACAATCACAAAGACAAGGCTCAATGGGTGCTGGGCAAATGTCCTGTTCTCATAAAAATTAAAAGGATGTAATGCCATTTGTGGCTACTGGTACATACCAATTGGCTTGTGGCCCAGCCCCAGCAAAATGACAGAACAGAGTACAAAAGGGTTTGTGAGAGTTTGGGAGATGAAAAGGCGATCAAGAAAAGCCAACACAGGTTCTTTAAGTAAAAGCCGATGAAGCTGGCCCCTTCCAGGGAAAGGGTTAGTAAGCTGGCCAACCACAGGACCATCAGCCATGTGGTTTAGCATCTGTGGGTTATAAGCCTGGTTCTGGTATGTTCTTCCACGATGTGCCTGTGTTGAACTGACAGCCATGGCCATCCTCACTGTATCCCTGGGGTGGCTCTAGGCACTGGTCACCTCCATGTCCAGTGACCTCCTCACCAAGGCAGCCTTGGGTACCACCAACAGCTGCCCCAGGAAGCTCAAGTGCTCCACTCTACCCTGTCCCCAGATTCTAGCAGGTGCTCACATCTGTGCACAGTGAGACCTCCATGGCCTCTTCCAGTCAAAACCACTTTTGTGAGTTGTCTAAAGCTCCCATTTCTCCTCCTGCCCAACTGCTCTGCTGGAAACCTAAGTTTTCCCAGTAGGAAAAGTAGGCACATGCGTCTCAGCATGTCCTTGGAAAGCAATACTGCGACAGCTGTTTATCTTGAGGTCAGACAGGCACGAACAGGACCCCTTTAAGCCCTTCAAGGGCCTTAAGAGCTCTTGGGAGACCTCAGACTATATCAAATGCACTGAAGTACATCCACCTCACACATGTAATATAATTTTTACTGTAACAATTTTGAAAGGATTTGAGTAATTTTGCTTTTGAAATTATTGGCTAAGAGTAACTCGATTAATTTATGGTTGGCTCTGATTTCTCAGCAAACATCAGGCATGTTCAGGAATTCTTGGGAAGTGAGAAAAACCTAACTTACAAATTGTTTTCCAAAGTAATAACATTTTTATGGAGGCTAAATTTAAGAATTAATGAACTCTACAAGATGTTACACTTTGTAGAAATTTAATTATATTCTAATAAATTTTTATTTTGTAGTCTTCTTTTCATATTTTAGAGCCAATAAGGTTTTTTTTTTTTTTTAGGCCTCATTTTCATAAACTCCTAAAAAGCTCATTGGCCCCAGGCACTGTGCCCATGTCTGAGCACTAACGTGGCCTACAGAGTAAGCACATTTGGACCTTTTTCCTGGAACTACCAGAAAAGACATGTGTAATGTCAGTTCTGAGGCTCTGCGGGAACTGGAGATGCTTTGGCAATGTACAAACCATTCCTGTGTTTAGTCATTGTTTTCTACTCTGTTTTTGCTGAAAAGTAGTGGCTGACATAGCATATATGTGGCCATAACTAAAATATTATTTCACCAATCCTCTGGATAGAGACTGGAGCATCAGTCATAATTGGTTCTCATGGACCCCGACCAGGGTCTGTCCTCCTGACCTCTCAGGACACCCAGGAAGTCCTGCTGTGAGTCAGGGTAGGACTCACACCTAAGCAGTACACATGCCCTGGCACTTAGATGAATAAATTCAGGTAAGAAATTCCCAATTTTAACAACTAGTCATTTCTGTCAGAAAAAAAATGTTTTGGAGAGTGATGAAAAGACTTTCTGGAGACAGACCACCAGTGAGAATAATGGAAAACTGCATACAGTTCTCATGCAAAAGCAGGTGACTTGGTAATATCACTGAAGCAACTTCCCAGGACCTCAAAGAGACTAAACTCACCGGAGTTGTGACATTTCCTATGGTTATCAGGTCCTGAGGCTCAGGGCTAGGCTTAGGGGATAAAAAGCCCATCAACTGTGTGGGCCTGGTCAGCTCAGCTCATAGCCAGGAAGGCCTTTGGTCTTCTTGTTCCTCCTCACAGCCCACACAGACCCACCTCAAGGCTTGCTGCTGGTGTCCTGAACAGGCCTCACTGAAGGCAGCTGCAGTCTATAAGCCCATTTCAATTCTAGGGCCTGGGTAAACCAGACTGAAATTGGCCCACTCCAGACCACAGACAGGAAACAGAAGAGGAAGTTATACTTGGGCCAGACCTCACTCAACTCACCTTCATCAGAAAGACTCTGGCTGGAGGTGGCAAGCACTTAATTGGCCATCAGTGATGTAGCCCCTGGTTTCCTGGGAGGCTGTGCGCATGAAACCCCAGAGAGGAGGGACTGGGCAGGGCTGGGCTGGGTACTTAACTCAAATCACCTCCAACACTTATCAGGACTGGTCCTGGGGTCCAAAGGCCTGAAACCTACATTTCTTGGGTCCTGTGTGCCTGCATCCCTTCTCTCCTCTTCGTGGTCCCTGGTCCTGTGAGCTTCCCGAACCCTTGCTGCCTCTCTGGGGAACCCCACACACTCCTCTGGCCCAGGTGGCGACTGCACAGCTCTTCATGCGGAACATTTGGCCATGGTGTAAATATGGTCTTTATGGTCCCAGCCTGGGTGAAGCCCCGTTAGTGTTGGCCTGGTGCTGCAGGCAGAGCCGCTCTCAGAAGAGGAGCCAAGGTAAACACCACCCGGCTGCCTGCCCGGCACTTGCTTGGCTCCAGGAGCGCTGTGCCCACTGCACACCAAAAATTCAGCTCCGTTGACAAAAAAGAGATTTCCATTCTTTACTTCAATACAGCTTTGTGGTCTTCTCCACCGAAATATTTTTAAAATATGCCTTGTGGAAAACGCCTATTAGTAGATATTTTACATATATATATATATATGTATGTATATATATATATATATATATATATATATACACATATGTATGTATGTATACATAATCTTTTTTTAACAGAGAACTTACTTAATTAGTTATATACATATCAAAACTAATTAATCCAAACAACCTGCAAATATAGTCAAATTATTTTATGATTTTTAAGGGGCTAAATGTCATTCTTATTGTTTTATAAAATACTTATTTAATAAATGAACATAATCTGAGACTTCTTTGTAGAGGTTCAACACATTTTTTACAAGAGATAGGTGTTAAATGAGTCATTGATGCATATCTGCACATATACAAATGGGAGCATGTATTTCATTGTGTATGAACACTTTATATTAAAACTCCAGTCATTTTGTGCTGTTAGGAAGGGGACTCTTTACCACAACTAGAAATTGCCTTCTGTGATGCCTTTTTTCAATATATTTTAAACCACAACACTTGAAATCTGCCCTTAGGAAACTTTAAGAATATAACACATTGCTATTAACTATCATCACTGTGTTATATAATAGATCTCTGGAACTATCTAAATAACATTTTGTATCCTTTGAGCAACATCTCCCAAAGTCTCCATCCCAACCCCCACCCCCATTAATCTTATATTTAGTTTAGAAACCCAAAAGCAAACATAGTTACATGTGCATGATGGGAGAGGAGGGTCAAGCTTTTATCTATCAAAGGAAAAAAAAGAGAAACTCTTCACTGAATACCTGTCCAGACAGCCTTGGGACAGCTAGTGTTCCCCAGCCCCGCACATCCTGAACCATGGATTCTTTACCCAAAGTTGGATGCCTTGCCTGGTCCCCCACAATGGCACGATTCCTATGTACCGACAACAGGTTTGTCACTGCAGTACTTATAGGTTACAGTTCGGATTTTCACTTGTTATTTACATGAAATGGGTTTGCCGCTGCATCACCCTCTGCTATGGGTTTCTCATCAGAACGGGATGTTTTGGCTCAAACATTTTAAGGGCCACCGGATTATTTTACTGCTGTCATTTCAATGCAACCTATTTTTGGACTCATTTTCATCAATCATTTACATTTTTGGCCTTTGGCACTGGCATCTTTAATGTAAGAAAAGGGAATGCATTTGAATGTGGGAGATTTGCTGGGGGTCTGTCTGTGAAGGGTTTCTAAGGGACATTGGTGATGTGGTTCTTGTTTGAGGTTGATGGGCCTGTCATGAGAGAGACAGGCTGCAGGGATATTTGGAGAGTCTTTCCCAACAGCAGAAAATGCTAAACACTTCCACACTTCCATATTATTTTATAACTGCCCCATGATTCCAGGAGGCCTTAAAGAATTACCAGATTTGCTTTTTTTTTTTTTGAAAGAAACTTCTACATTATAAAACACGGAAGAAATTGAAAAATGGACAAAGGACACTAAGAAGTAAACATAGTGAAAAAAAATTATTAATAAAGATAAAACAAAAATGGTTTGATATCCTGTCAAAGATAGTTCTCAGGACACAGAGATCAGAGCCTGGACCCCTGACCCTTGTGGGCTCTGACCACCCGGTTCAGCTGGGGACACAGACCCACCCTGCCCCTTACCAGCTATATGATCTTGATGCCTTCCCTAAAGTCCCTGGGCTCTGATTTCTTCATTTGTAAAACAGGGAGAGTACCACCACCTCATGGGGGTGTCAGGAGGGTCAGGAGTGGAAATACTGGGCGGGGACTGCAACAGGGCCATGCACATAGGAAATGCCAAGTCCATGCTGACTATTATCACTTTATTCTGATTACTGCTATTCCAGAGAGGACTCTCAGAGTAGGTGTTTGTATCCAGGGGTTGGGGGTCCATTTACCTTCTGAAATTGTTTACAAAATTGTATGAATCTGCATTTTTCTTTCCACAAATTCTTAAAGCGATTGGAGTTCCCAACAGATTTTAAACCATTTGTCTTTTAAAAAGAGCCCTCATAGGTATGCCAGAGGTAAAGCTGAAACCACCGACAACACCCATGAAGGCAGTGCAGGTGGGGAGCCATGAGGTCAACTGCCATCCTCCCAATGGTCTCCAAAGCCTCCCTACAGGGTGTCCCTCAAGGACAGTCTCCATCTGACCATCTGCCAGGAGCCTGGTGGTGCTGAAGGAAGAGGCCTGGCTGCTTGCTTTCAGTGGGTGTCATTTTGTAGGCTCCTGCCAGATCTTCTATCCCCAGCATGTGGATCAAACACTGTCCCTTCCCCTAAGCACTTCTCCCTACCCCTTTACTGCTGACTTGGTAAAAAGCCAGACCCCCAACACCCACCAGTGCTCTGGTCCAGCTACTGAGGACAGACTTCCATTCTCTGCTTCAGCCCCTGAGGCTTGGGCCAAGCACAACCAAAACCTTTTTCTCCTTTCTTGAGTGTTCTTTCTAAAGGTCTGGCCTCCCCTTCTCCAGGATAGATGCTGAGGGGGGCCCGAGGCAGAAAGTGGCACCAGGGAAGGAAGGAAAGAGAAGAAGGGAGAGGGGAGGAATGGGGAGGAAAGGGGATGGAGAGAGGAATTAGGAATGGAAAGAAGGGAGGGAGGGAGGGAGAAAGGGAGGAAGGAAGGAAAGCAGGCACACCTGCTTCCTGGGATGGAGTGCTAGGAGTCCTGCCCATCTCCTGAGTAGGGAGAGGGCTGAGGGAAAGGTTAGTGGGTTAGATGCCCCCCTAGAGAATGAAGGGAGGAGCTCACAGTAAAGTGTCAGCACCCAAACTGACATGGGTCCAGGGAACTGATGCAGGAGCAAGGTGGCTCCTATCTCCTACTGAGCTCTAGGTGGGTTGCTCATGTGCTGCTGCAAGGCCTCAGAGGCTCACTGAGATGTCTAGCAAGGATCTAAACCCAAAGCTTGCCTGGCTAACCATGATAGGTGGGCTAGTTGAGCCCAACCACCAGCCAGGAAGGAAGCTGCCAAGCTGGAGCTATGCAGGAAAAGCTGAGTGTACCTGCCACTGATGGGCACCACCCACCAACACACACACATATACACAGAGAGAGAAAGACAGGGTCCCTAGGAAGTGTAGCTGACAGAAGGCTGGTGAGTTCTGCTCTCCATTGCTAGCCATAGGGGCTTCTGTGGCCCAGCTGGAACTCAATTAATAGTTGTTGAATGAATATGCAAATTACTAGAGCAAGATGGAATTTTCTTTGCACTTCTGATCTTAACCATTCTCAGTATGGGGAATATTTTTAAGAAACTGAAGCAAAGTGTGGACTGGCAGAGTGACTTGAGTAGTAGAATAAAATAAATAAATAAGAAAAAGTAACTGAAGCCAAGTTTGTATTTTAAACTATGCAGATCAGTTCAAGTTTCCTCAGATTTGTAATGAAGACCCCAGCCTGTCCATATCTGGGTGGCTTAAGTTTGTACCTTCTTGCTGATGTGACTAACATGGGAATATAGGAAACCACTGGGGACAATTAGGGGCCATGGGTCCGAGAACCCTTCCAGTCTGAGCTTCAAAAGAGAGCTTGAGGTGTGGCAGTATGGCAGTTGTGACATGTGCACATCTGTGTCCACAGGCCCATGGAGAGACTGTCTGCAGGCCCTAGAGGATGGTCATGACACTAGTTCCATCTACCTGGTAAAGCCTGAGAATACTAACCGCCTCATGCAGGTGTGGTGTGACCAGAGACATGACCCTGGGGGCTGGACTGTCATCCAGAGGCGCCTGGATGGCTCTGTCAACTTTTTCAGGAACTGGGAGACATACAAGGTGAGTGCCAGCAGGATTTGTCTGCACTCCCCACAGGTGACTGGCCCCATAGGGCAAGGAGGAGGAGGATAGGGCCATTTCTGCAAACTCACCAGAGTGGAGATAGGTTCCTTCCCTGCTGGTCCCTGGCACCTGCTGCAAGGCAGCAGTTAAGAGGGGTGGGGCCCTCGCTCCAGCTGGAATGTGGGCAGAATCTTACTCCCTGCTGCTTACTGCTATCTTCCCCACAGAAGCCCCATTCTCAAAGCACACAGGGTGCAAGTCCCAAGGCTCCCTTAAAAAGTCCTTGGAGGGAGCAGTGGCAATACCCCAGTCCTAATTATGGAGTCCACTCTCTGGGATCCTCAGTTCCCTGATCACTGAAATGCTCATCCTTGTAATAAGAACGATCACCAGGGCTCAGGGTTCCCCACTCTCCTTCCTCTGAACAAAGAGGAGTCACTAAGAATGGTATAAACAGTTTAGTTCACTGAGCACCTGCCCATGCCCAGTACCATGCAGAGTTCTCATTTCTGACCTCATCTAACCTCACAGCAACCCTTGGGGAGGGGACTTCAATGGCCCAGATTATGGGGCCTTGTTCACAGCTGCACAGCTGCCACATAGCAAAGCAGTGAGTGTGGCTTAGCCCTCAAAGCCACAACTCCTATTAGCCTCCACATGTGGCTCTGCTGTGCCCAATTCTTGGGTCTCCTTCCAGCCTCATCCCCTGCCCACCTCCTTACCACCCTGTGTCTCCACTTGCTACTCCTCTACCTCCTAGCTTGGAGGTTCCTGGAGACTCCCCTGTGCTCTCCTTTCTCTCACGGAGGCAGCACGCACAGCCATATCCTGGCTCACCCATCCTAGGGAGGCCAATGATAGGATGTTGCTCTAAGACTTGGTGTGAGAATTAACAAAATAACCTATGGGAAGTTCTCATCACAGGGCCGGCATACTGTACGTGCTCACTAAATACTAATGACAAGACTTACAAGACTTTGATGACTACCACTCTGCTGATGACACAAAACCACTCAGTTTTAGGACTAGAAGGAAGTCCAGGTGGATAAGACACATAGGTCACAGCTCACACCTGTCTGATGTGCTAGAACTTATGCATAACCCTCATGTACAGACCATGCCAAAGAAGGAAACTGAGGCTCAGGGGAGGTGAGAGCTCTGTCCAGGGAATGCTGGACACACACCTTCTGTGTGCTGGGCTCTCATATCACCACACTACATGCATTCCCGCAGCAAGCCCATGGGGAAGGTAATAGCATCCCCACGTGACAGTGAGGAGCCCGGGGCTCATGTGATGCCTGACCCAGAAGGGGTATACACTTCATCTTTTGAATGATGTGAGATCGAGGCTCAGAAATGTGAAATGACTCATCAAGTCACAGGACTGTGACATATGGGTGTGGGGGTTGGAGCCCAGGCTTGCCTCGTGTTTGATTTGTTTCCCAGGCCACTCTACCAGGGGCACTGACAGGTTCTACACTCATGCTCTCCTGGGTCTTCCCCAGCAAGGGTTTGGGAACATTGATGGCGAATACTGGCTGGGCCTGGAGAACATCTACTGGCTGACGAACCAAGGCAACTACAAACTACTTGTGACCATGGAGGACTGGTCTGGTCGCAAGGTCTTTGCAGAATATGCCAGCTTCCGCCTGGAGCCGGAGAGCGAGTATTACAAACTTCGGCTGGGGCGCTACCATGGCAATGCAGGAGATTCCTTCACCTGGCACAATGGCAAGCAGTTCACCACTCTGGACAGAGACCATGATGTCTACACAGGTAGGAAAAGTGACTCCCAGGTGCAGGGTGGGGAAAAGAGGTCACCTAAAGACAGAGTCCCTGACTCAGCCCATTGCCCTCAGATCCCCTTGGTAAAGCTGGATCACAGTGGCACTTACAAAAATGAAAAGATAAGCTGGGTGCTCTGGCTCATGCTTGTTATCCTAACTACTTGGGAGGCTAAGATAGAGAGAACTGCAGTTCAAGGCTAGCCTGGGCAAAATGTTCACAAGACCATACCTCAACCAATAAAATCTAGGCACAGTAGCTGTCATCCCAGCTATGCAGGAAGCATAAATAGGAGGAATTCAGTACAGGATAGCCTGAGCATAAACAGCAAGACCCTGTTCAAAACATACCTAGAGCAAAAAGAGCTGGGGTATGGCTCAAGTGGTAGAGTGCCTGCCTAGCAAGTGCAAGTACCTGAGTTCAGACCCCAATAAATAAACAAATAAACAATAACAACAAAAAAGGCAAAGGTGTATAAATCACACAGAGGAAGGCAGCCCTGGGCCAAGGCTAACACTCATGTTTGGGGCTGTGCCCTCCTCGCCTTTCTGTCTGAGGGACACATGCCCACCCCTGGGCTCTGGGTCATACACTCTGGGTTCCAATGCTGTCCCCACCTCTTCAGTCATGTGTCCTCAGCACACTGCATAATCTCTCTGGGCCTTGGTTTCCACATCTGGAAGTAAGGACAACACCTACCTTGCAGGGCAGGGAGAAGGTTCAAGAGCATGTACATCAAGTGTTTTGTATAGGATGTGGCATATAGTAAGGGCCTCTGTCCTGACAGCTACTGTGATTAGAATGTAATGTTAATGCAACACTCTATAGAAGCTGTTAAGAGGAAACCAGACAGGAGAGATGAAGTGATTTGTACAAGATCACATGCCTCAAACCTAGGTCTTTACTAAGAAGTCTATCAAATATTAAAAGAGGTGCCCACATACAGTGTGCTCTAAGTGCAGAATCAGACACCCCACAGCTTATATCTCCAAAGTCCCATACCCAGTTCCTTATGATGAAGGTCCAGAGGCCCTGGAGGCTGGTGGGTTGGCAAGGCCTCGGCTGCCCCGAGGCTGGCACTGCCTCTAGGCCGAGACTGAATCTGCTTTTCCAGGCAAGCCTAGCCCCTCCTGCTCAGCTTCACATTTAGTCCTGGTCTGAAGGCAACTCCCCCCACTCTAAAGAGCAAGCTGTGGAGCCTGTCTCAGAAACGGCCTGAGGCGAGCTTTGAGTGAGCCCTGATGCCCACACGCTGAGGTGAGGGCGCCTCAATGTAGTGGGCAGTTCTGCTAACAGTAGGGAACAGGTGAGGCATGGCCTGCCTGTCTTTGCACCACACAGACACCTCTGCTCACTTGCTGGCCCTGAACTGACCCTGCCCTTGCTCTAAAGCAGCAGGTCTTCTCAGCTAGTGCTGAGGCTTCCAGAAAAGCCATGCAGGACAAGCCTCTCATCCTGGTCAGATCTGGGAACACCAGGCCACAAAAGACACTTCTTGAGAGCCATCATGAACAGGTAGAAGAGCCTTTTGAGAGTCCACTGTCAGACAGGTTCCTTGTAGGACCAATGCAGGAGGGGCCTCCTGTGACAAATGGGAGGCAGACTCTGCTGTGCCATGGTCTCTCCCTGCTCACCAAATGCAGCACTGCCACTTGGTCCTATGGCTTGAGTCATAGTCCAGAAGAAGCCCCAGAAAAATTGGGAACCCTGGAGCATCTGGCACTGATGCTCTCCTCCAACTTTCTGCCTCAGACTGTCTGTGAGTCCCTTACTTAGCTCCCATGACTTTGGCTGGAGCAGGACCACCCCTCCCTATGGAAGGCCCCTTCCTAACTAAACAGCCCAAGTGATAGTGGCTCCTCTTACTCCTCCCATCCTGGGGAGTGATGCCCCTACATGCCTGCTCACACCTTGCCCATGCTTCTTTTTGTTCTGAACTGCTTGTCCTTGGCAACAAAGATGCAGCATGATGTGATAATGCCAAGAGTTCCATGGAAATATCTTTCTTTTATGAAATAACACAAAAAGCTACTTGGATGGAATTCAGGATGGGGAGAATAAAAGGGGTATTCCATCTTAAACACTCTCCTTGTCATTCTATAAAGACTCTGGATCCAATCCTTTCAATCCCTACAAATCCCTAAGAAAAGTTCTTTCTCCCTCTCCCAGCCACCACAGGTCATTTTCTCCAGTCTGTGATGGGCAGCACTCTGGGTGCTGCCTCTGCACAGAGTCTCGGCTGTGTTGAACACAGGCTCCCGCTTAATCCTCAGTCATGGACTGGCAGAGTGGCTCAAGTGGTAAGAGCACCTGCCTAGCAAGTGTGAGGCCCTGAGTTCAAACCCCAGTGCTGCCAAAAAAATAAATAAATAAAAACAAAAAACCTCAGTCATCCTATGCAATGAATGTTATTGTTATCCTCCTTTTACAAATGAGAATACAATGGCTGGGAGGGGGAGCCACTTGTCTGCCATCTCACAGCTAGCTCATTATAAAGCCATATCTCAAGGCAGGTCTGAGTGGGCCTGTAGATTAGCCTTTGACCTTTGGTGGGCAGGGTCCACCTCCCAAATGTCCTTGCTCTGATGGCCTCCCAGAGAGGGTCCTGAGGAGGCTCCAAGCCCATGGCAGATGGAGCAGAATTGCTTCCTCTTAGATACTTCCTAACTCCCTTCTCTCTTGCAGGAAACTGTGCCCACTACCAGAAGGGAGGTTGGTGGTATAATGCCTGTGCCCACTCTAACCTCAATGGGGTCTGGTACCGCGGGGGCCATTACCGGAGTCGCTACCAGGATGGGGTCTACTGGGCTGAGTTCCGAGGAGGTTCCTACTCGCTGAAGAAAGTGGTGATGATGATCCGGCCCAACCCCAACACCTTCCACTAAGCCTGCTCCCCTCCTGGTCCTCCTGTGGCCATCACCAGGAGTTGCCCTGGCCATGCAGCCCCAACACAACTCCTTTCCAGTTCACCTTGGGGCTGGGAAGATGGGATGCTGAATTCTGCTTTCCAAAGTCACTGTGCCACATTAACAGAACTGGACTGATAAGAGTGTTTTCTGTCCCTTCTACTTTCCTTCACACCAGACAGCCTTTCAGCTTCCCAGGACAGGATGGGAATACAGGCAACTCTTTCTTTAAATCAATTAAATCCTCCAACAAAAACACAAGTGCAAACACCTTTATTACATACATGTATATGAGCCTCCCTGTGCACTTATGTGCATACCATATGTACGTGCACTTAGATACATATCACATGTGATATGTGTGGACATCTATATGGATTTGCCATATACACCTAAATATTCTATATTTGATTCTCAGATACTGAAGCTGTCACCAACAGTTGTTCTTCAGAGGAAAGCATTTCCTTAATGCTGTGTTACTTGAGTCGAAGGGTAGAACACAGTCTGTGTCGCCCCAATTCAAAGAGTAATCCTTGCATCCACGTGCTCAGATTCTCCCAGGAATGTCTACAAGACTCATCTCTCACATAGGGGTTCCTGGCCTCCCCGCTGAAGAACCCCTCTGGGCACCTAATCAAACTTCAAAATCCCTCTCCCAGTCCATTGTTATACTTTCCCTCTTTCTCAGGACCTCTCCACATCCTTCCACCCAGCTAACCCCTCATTCAGCACCTTCTGAGCCTCAGTCCCTGGCTGCTCACTGGAGTTCGAGGCACCTCTTCTACCTTCTCCCCTTGCCTCTCCTTTTCTGCCACACAGGTCTTTCTTTCCAGGCAAGATTCTTTAGCCTCTGAGGAGGAAAGAGTGTGGGCTCAGGTTCTGGCTGGTAAGGTAAGCCAGGCCAAAGGCAAGACTAGCGGCTGTATAGATTGTGTAGTCACAGTTTTGTATCTTCCATTCATACTTTAGCCTCCACATCATTTTAACCTTCACACAAATAGTAGCCTGCCTTGCCAGAGACACTCAGCTGAAGAGAAGTCACTGCCAGTGTGTTGAGGCCTCCAGATGGCCACAGACCTGAGGTCCCATGCTCAGGTGAACCAGAGTCTGCACCTCATCCCCTGGATGACAGGGCCATGTGAGAGAGAACTGCCCACTTCAATGAGTTGCTGAACTATCAAGGGTCGGTGGACCCTGTGGCTGGTGCACCGCAGCATGGTGCTTCCTGAGTCCTGCTGGGCTCAGTGCTACTGGGACAATTAACAAGCCAGGGGCAAGAGATGAGTCTGGAAGGTGAGACCCTCCCAGTGGGCATGTGGGCTGGGTGTGTGAGGTGTGGGGCGTTTGGTACTGTCTGCATCTGGGTGCGTGCCTATTACCTCAGCATTTCTCACAGTGTACCATGTAGCATGTTCTGTGTATATAAAAGGGAGGTTTTTTTTTTTTTAATATATTCCAAGATTATCCTTGTAATGACACAAATCTGCAATAAAAGCCATCAGTGCTATGTGGATGTATCCGTACCATTTGTTACTGTTTTAGAATGCCTTCTAGGATCTCATGGATCGGGGCCTCTGTAAGGGGATTCAGCACCAGGGCACACCCCTAAATCTCTAGATCACACTCTGCCCCCTCAGGAGTTCTGTGCCAGCACTTCCAGCCAGTATGGCTCTCTGAAGCCACCTCCTGCATCTAGCTGAGTCCTGGATATCTCTACTGGAACTGCAGAAGCACCTACAGGCAGGGCAGTTAACACCTGAGATACCTCTCCTCCAGGCTGGTCATAAGTACTCAATTGTGGGGGTCAAAACCAAGGTCTTTCTCCTTCTCCTTGCCAAGACTGCTCCTCCTCCACACCAAGCCCATTTGGCCTCGGTGCAGGCCTTCTCTCCTCTCCCCTCACTGTCACAACAGGCTCTCACATAAGAGCTCCAGCTCCCTTGTTCTAACCCAAGTTCCACACTAGCTGCCAGACCTATCTCCTTGTAAAACAAATCTGTCACTTGGAGGATGATTCTAGGCATGACAGGAAACCCCAAAACCAAAAAGAAGACTAAGGGATATGATTTTTTAAAAACACACCAATTCTTCTGTCTTCCCCAAAACAAAACATGACCAAGATTGAAAGGCAAATATCAAACAAGAGAAACATATTTGCCACGTTGCTATTTGTGTTAATTACAAATACAGGATTAATACTCATGCCATACCAAAAGCTTTCAGAATTGGAAAGATACAAACACTGTGAAAGAAAACTTGGTAGAGTACACAAGCACCTTAGATGTCACAAATAAATAAGGAAAGATGTCAACCTCAAAAGGAACCAGGGAGATACATTAAATGAAGGATAAGCCATCACATGTTTACTTCTCAGGTTGGCAAAGATGAAAACGCTGCCAAATCTGCATGTCGAAGAAGGGATCAAAAACATGTACTTCCAGCACTATGGACAGAACTATAAATTGACTCAGTATTTTTGAAGAGTCATTCAGTATATCAAAAACTTAAGTGCATTTATGCCCTTTCTTACTTATGCAGTGTTTCCTTATCACTAAGCAAAACAACCACCAGAGAGATTTTTCTAGTCAGTTGTGGGTAGCGCTTACTACATGATCAGAAGAGAGCTTACATTTTTATTTCACCTTTACATAGCTCTGTAAAGGAGGGATTATTATTCCTACTCTACAGAAGAGGAGTGAAGCAAGGATGCCTAACAGGAATTAATCCAGAGGGCACTGGGTGTCAGGCCCTGAGCATGAATTCTCCAACCTCCTAGTCAGTTGTTAGGATCACAGTGGAACCTGCATGCTGCTTATGAAAATGTCCCAAACCTTGACACAGACCACAGACACACCCTCCCTACACATCTGGAGAAGACTAGGAGGATGAAGGGAGCAAGAACAAAGGAAAACAAGGTGCATTCTTCTTATTCACTAGTCTTGGGTCCAAGCCCCAAAGCAGACAGCTCTGGGAAGCCAAGCTGGGCAGTGTGAACCACCCTTTTTCTTTTTCATTTGGGATCCAAATGAAAGTCAGCTACGACACCACCAACTATTACCACCTCTCAGCACCTGATCCGTGTCTTATCCAGCCACACCCTAGCCATGTGGAAGAACAAGGAACAAGGTCCTCAGATCTGCAGCCTGCTCTTCCTGGAGTAAACTGGGAAGGAAGAGGTTAGTTTACTAGGCTGCAGCATGGAACAAGAGCATGGGAGATGGGGGGTAAGGGGAAGGCTGTGCTCAGGGGCTCTGAACTGAGTGAGCTGCTCCCTCACCAGCAAACACAGGTAGTCAGCATCCTCAGGTCTGGCCAAGCCAGAGGGTCTCTGACTCTAGCCAGGGATCTTTGTAGGCCCACAATCATACAAGCTCTAACAACACTGAGTTCTTTCTCCAGGTGGGGAGACAGGAGTCGACAAAGCCCAGATGTTCTCAGGACCCAGCCAAACCTCCATATCCCCATTTTGTCCAGTACCTTGAACAGTGATTGATGTTCTCCAAGCAAGCAACACAGAACAGCCCCCCACCGCACCCCTCCCCCCACAGCTTGCCAATTTGAGCAAGATTGAAAGAGAAGCCTGCAGATTACTAAAAGCAGTGGTGATGAGAGTTTGCCATTTTTGGAATCCACAGACCCTCTGGGAGTTCAGGGGTCCTCCCTGACCTCCTAGACCACCTCAACTGTTTCAGTCTTGTTGAGATTCTCGTTATAGTAAGAGAAACCCAGGCAACTAGATTAAACAAAAAGGAGCATGTTTCAGGGGCAACAGATATAAAGAGGCACTCATTCTGCCTCAGTTTTATGTGAGACTCCAAAAGCTAGGGACAAAATAATAGCTGCCCAGGATCCCCCATTCCAGAACAAGGTGCAAAGCCATTCTGCAAAGGGATGCCCCAAGTGGGTTCTGCAGCATTAGCCAATGCCCCCTTAAGTTCTGCATGAGCAGTGCAGGGAAAGGATCCTGGAGTTGGGGGAGAGTGAGTTGTCCTTATGATGTCTGCCCCACCACAGGGAAGGCAAACGTCCTCTCACCCCAAGTCAAGTAACAGGAATGTCAAAGAATCATTCCCAGATTCTGGAACGAGCGAACATGGGCAGCACTGACCTGGGCCACAAGCCAAAGGCCCAAGCACCGGAGCAGTGAGAAGTGAGAGATACTGGAATCACAGGGCCAGAGGACAGCCTGGATGGGGCGTGGGGGCCAGGGCAGCAAGCACTGGAGCCAAGCTCAGCTGGAAAGCAGCATCCTGCCACCAAGCAGCTGGGTCAGAAGCGCCCACAGGAAACTGAAGCAGCACAAAGCAGGGAAACACTGTGCACTGGACACAAGTTCTGGATTAGGACTGAGCCACCACAGAAGATGGGCCATTTCCACACTTCCTGTACTTTCCCTGCTCAAACCCCAAGGGCAAGAGATTGTGAGGGCAGTAGAACTGCTTAGAATCCAATGAAGAGGCTGACCTCAAGCCCTGCCCAACTCCAGGTCCACAAGACTGGCTGGCTTTAGGAATTCAGAAGTGATTACTACACAGAACCGTCTGGATGGTGACATTGTTAGAGGAACTGAGTTTTGTCATGCCTGACACCAGGAAGATCAAGGGGCCTTTCTCAGCTTCAAGTGGAAAAGAACTTGTCCACAGAGCAAGCTTGAAAGGACACTGGAGAAAAATGAGGTTAGTTTCTTCTTACACCTGGCTGAGTCCAGCTCATTAAAAAAGCTGGTTATATAAGGACACAAGGTAGCTCCTTGAGACGATGGGCAGGGATGCAGCTGGGCCTCATGAGGGCCAGGAACCAGAAACTCCTGGAAGGCCTTCAGGAATCAAGGCAGCAGCCTTCTCCACCCCCCCTCCTCTCTCTTCCTGCAGGGTTTCTTTCTGGGTTTCTCACTGTGCATCCATCTGCAGTCTATTCTCACTACTCATCCCCATGCACATCACAGACAACATTCCTGAGCTCATGTGTCCTCCTGGTCTGAGCGCCAGCACTTCTACATTCCAATGTTAACAGAGATCAGACTGGCCAGGCTGGGTGTCCACCCAATCCTAGGGGCTCTGGCCTTGAAGCATATCTGGGTGGAAAGAACCCTGCTGCTGGGGAATGATGCCCTGTGAGAGGCTAGGGAATTGCCACGTTCCCAGAGAAGGAGGAGTCACAGACTGAGTCTCTATCCAAAAAGGTATTTAGACTATACTCCAGCTGTTGTTGGCACCCATCTTCTCTGGGGAACCATAATTTGCCAGCTAGATGGATTCCATCCCATTTCTCATCAGCCCTCCCCTGTTGGCCCCTGCCCTCTCCTGGAAAGAACATTCATCCTTTCAGGCCCAGATGGGTCACTAGACATGGCACCTGGCTATGCCCTGAAGGGCCTCTCCTGCTTTTCCTTATATGCTGGATTGTGCAATAGTCTTTCCAGGTATAAGGAGCAACAAGGTCCCCATAACTGGGGTCTTCCTAGCTATCTTTTGCTCTGAATAACACTAACACCATCTACCATTTTCCATGTGCCAGGCAGTACACATCTCTAGATTCTTACAATAACCCTAGGAGGTGAGTCCTTTAATTATCCTCTCTTAAACATAGAAAACCGAGGTTGAAATGAAAGTGATCTACCCAGTAGCCTCAGGCACTCAGAACTTGAACTCAGGTTAGTCTGATTCCTGAACTCCCGCCTCTGTAGCATACACCTCTCCACCCAAGGAGGAAAGGACCCACCAAGGTTCCCACTCCACTCTATCACCACTCACTACTGTGCCTGGGAACCATAAAAGCATGCAGCCTTCTGCCCACAGGAGTGGTCAGCCCACCTGGCTGTGCCAGTCTATAGCTGTCTGCCTGGTTTACCTCAGAGTAGTTTGCACAGAATAATAGGACAGTGATGGAGAACATTTCACAGTTTCTTGGGCCTTCCAACCCTTTGCCAAAATAAAAGCTGTTAGGCCCTATCTTTCTCCTCTTCCTCCTGCAGGATAGAGAGCCACTTGTCCTACACCCTACAGACTCAGTAGCCCACGCTTTGGCACTCAGAGTGTTCCACTTGTGGCTTGTCTAGCTATCACCTTGTGTACCAGTTCTTTCTGAACCAAGCCCTGGCCCACATCATCTGGTAACCGGGTCCTGGTTGTGATCACTCATCTCCTACCTCCATGCCTCCAAGCCTGGGGCCTGTTAACTGTAGTGTTTCTCAGATCCCAGAGTCAGGCCAGAACCAGTCTTAGCCTGGGATTCTGCCCCTTGTGGACACATACCTCAGTACAAACCATCCTTGAGACATTCAAGTACCCTGTTCTCCCGACCTGGGGTGGCCTGGGCCAGCTTAGCCCGTACATGGGAGCCCAGACACAGATTATTCCTCTCATCTGTGCAACTTCCTAAAGTACTTCAATGTGTGGCTCCTCTCAGGCAGGTGGCAATCTGGCTGTCCCCTACCCTGCTTACTGATGGTCATGATGAATCTTTCTCTGTGGGTGGGTCAAGAGGAGTTTCCTACCCCTGCTGCAGTGTGTCCTGAAGCCAAGTGACATCTCAGGATGGGGGGTGAGGGCTCCTTGTGCACATTTGTCCTGAGCCGCAGCAGAGCTGGAAGTAGCCCAGAGCCTGGAAGGGTGGCTCTTGTAGGATGAATGGAATTAGAATTCCCTTCCGGAGCCATGTGATGACAGAGGCCTACACCACGGTCATCCCAATAAGGGGAAAGGATTAGAGGAAGCATGCAGGCCCAAGGCAAGTGCACCAGGCATGAATTTAGATTGACCTCCTCTCCATGGAAATGCAAAGCCGGGCAGCCTTTCTTCATGGATGAGGACAGTGTAGGCTGTGCTGGGGACACACTGACAAGGATTAGGACAGATATCCAGGAAGTAGAGGTCGAGGGAGAGGGCAGCTGATCACTTTGGCAGGAGGCTTGAAGACCTGGCTGCCTAACCAAGGACTAGAGAGAAGTGATGAGTGCAGGCGCCATCCTCCACTCTGTCATCTTCTGCCTCTCATTTCAGTATAAATAAAAGCTAGCAGGCAGTATCTGGGTGGAGAGTATGAGGAAGCAGGTGTGTCCACACTGTGAGAAGAAGGCCACAGTTGCCTTCTCAGAAGATATCCCAGCAGTGGTTACCATAAAACCACAAAGTCTCTGCCCTGGAGGTTCCATGACTAGCCTCCAAGTCTCAGAATGCTCTTGACAGTTGAGCAGGGACACAGGTAGAGGATGGTCCCCTGTAAAAGGAGAAAAGCAGAAACCACCTCAGTGATCAGCTGCAGCATGGCTGCAAGATCAATACACACCTCCAAGAGCCAATGAGTCACCCATGGACCTGCGAGTACCACACGGCCATAGGGAAGGAGCGAGTTCTATGTCTGATACCACTGAGTAGGACCTATGGCTGTAAGTGAGGGAAAAAAAAGGTACAAAACAATATGCATAAAGTTCTCCCAGATAGGTTAGAAAGAGCACGTACACTCATGGGTTGGATGAAATATCTGGAAGGGTGCGTGCCCCAGCTCTTAGCAGTGGTGCCTCCAGGAAGGAGCAGAGGAAGAGTATGATTTTCACTTTTTGCTTCATATACTTCTTTTTATTGGGAATGATCTTTAGCAATGTGTTAGTTTTGTAGTTTTTAAAACAATGAATGGGAGCTTAACGTCATTCCTGAGCCTTTCTGAGTGGCCTCATGGTATTGACACTCCCTCATTTCCCCTAGAAGTCCTAGGGGCCTCTGCAGACCAGGGCCCAGCATGCACTTGGCAGCAAACACACCTTTCTGAGGGTAACCTTCCAGGCCCTTAACTAGTCACCCACAGTCACCTTCCTTCCTTACAGACCTGCAAAAACTTATCACCTCTCAAAGTGGTAACCACCCGTTGGCCTATAGAATTCCCCCTCAAAATCAGCTTTTGGGAGAGGTCCAGTGCTTCCTGCTGCTCTGGGGACCAATCTTAAGAGTTTCTGTGTGTGGGGTGTGACAGTTGATTTTGTCCCAATACAGACTGAGCAACAAAGTATAGTTAATGTGTGGCAATGATAAAGGCTGTATAATGTACAACTTTATCTATAATTGCTGTGTGACAAATACTCCCAATCTGGCAACTTACAACAGTGAACCTTTATTATCTTCTAGTTTCTGGGTCTTAGGTAGGTGTCTCTGACTCAAGGTCTCTCATGAGACTTTAGTCAAGCTGTTGGCTGGGGCTGCAGTCTCACATGAAGGCTCACCTTTGGGCAGAATCTAATTCCATACTCCCTCTGTGGTTGTTGACAGGCTTTGATCCCTTGACACATAGCCTCTCTTCATAGGACTGTCAAGCACATGACAGCTGGATTCCCCAAGATGAGTAACCCAAGAGAGAGTAAGACCAAGTACTTTACTGTAGAAGGCACAGTATTTTTCTAAGCTCATCTCCAATATGAGTTGCCTTTAACACAAATCTTATTTATACTTTGCAGCTCTGAATTAACCTAAAAACAGTGCCTTCCTTAGAGGAAGGAGTACTGGGGTACTAACTGAG